CCAAAAATAAATAAACGTTGAAAAAAAAAAAATTAAAAAAAAAATTTTTTTTTAAATGTTTACTAATTTTTGAAGGAGAGAGAGATACAGCGTGAGCAGGGGAGGGGCAGAGAGACGGAGACACAGAATCCGAAGCAGGCTCCAGGCTCTGAGCTGTCAGCACAGAGCCCGATGTGGGGCTCGAACTCACAAACTGTGAGATCATGCCCTGAGCTGAAGTCGGAGGCTTAATCGGCCCAGGTTCCCCTACATTACATATATAAATTTTAGTTACTCTGTTTATCCAGAAGGTCAAGCCAAGACCAACAAGTTAGATTTATGTAGTTTTGGTTTAACCTAAGAAAATGTTGGGAATACAGACATCCAGCATTAAGCTTAGGCACTTCTACATACATGATAGTAAAAGCCTTGAAAGTACTTGCTCAACATTATCTTTCAAAACTAACACACTGTGATTAACAACTAAACTTGACTATGTTTCTGCTCTGAACAAAAAGCTATGTATAACTTTATAGAAAAGGGAAGCATAGACTTCTCTCAGAAATGAACTATCAAATTTTAAGTCATTATCTCAAAAGCATCTCAATTACATCACAGGAATAATTCCAGTGGCTGTGGACAAAATATGATTTTTGTTCTTAATGACAATGTTGTGAATTTCTCTCAAATATTTTGGTACTTGTCTTTTATTGTATGCTCATTTTTGTTTCATCACAAAATCATCCTAGTTCTAAAAAACAAGAACTAGAACTAAACAAGAACAAGTCCTAGCTATATCACTGACTTGCTGAATGACCATGGGCAAATCACTAGAACTATTTTCAAGTTTCACTTACCACCAGTGAAATAAGCACCTTACAGTAGTAGCTTTGAAACTCTCATAAGGTAATTGATTTGACAACACCTTAGAAATCATAAGCAGTACACATGTAAATTTTTATGTACTTCTGCACATTGTATGATACAAACCCAGTGTTAAGTTGCTAATAAGTGTTGATGCCATTATAGGAGAAGTAAAGAGAACTTTTTTAAATAATAATTTGGTTCGTTTTCCAATTTGGTTTATCATCTCGTCTTCATTTTTATTATATCTTCTTCCTCTAGATAAGACACAGAACTTGTTCTCTTCTCTGAGGGATTTAATGGTCCCTGTGGAGTCTGAGAAGAAGGCCACAAATATTCATCGCCAAAGAATAACAACCTACATTTGTCTTTTCAGTCTTGTCGTATCTGCAGGACTGAAGTCTGCCAATATCCATTTGTCTGTACAGAACATCTGTAAGTCCGATGCTTGTTCTGGTGTCATGGGGACACGGACAAAGATGACAACTTCACTGGCGGTACTTTCAATCAGCACGGAAGGCTTTCCCTTTGGGGTCTGCCAGGATGATTACACCCCAACAAGCTATGCCTAAGGAAAAAAAACAACAGTACCTCATATGTATGTTATACTTTAGTTTACTAGGTGCTTTCATATATGCCATCTTATTTAATCCTCACAACACTCCTAGAAGACACATCATCATTACATTTTTTTTTTTTATAAAAGAGTGAAATTCGGAAAAGGAAAAGAAAATTTAGAGAGAGAGAGAGAAAAAAAATCTGTTACCTCCCCAAGCAAGAAAGGGATTTAAGGAGAACCGATTTGGGGAATCTAATTAGAAAGTTAAGAGATCTGTAAACCTAAAATCCTACCCATTCAACTGGTTTAAAGAGAAAAAAAAAAAAAAAAAGGAAAAAAAATCACTGCATTTTACTCTAAGACATCTTAACATCACTTATAATAATCAGTCATTATTGCTACAGCTAAGGACTGTGGGCCAGCCATTCACCCATAGTACACCGAGAATGTGGGTTTGCACCGAACCTAAGACGTGACTTCAAAGCCCTAGTTTTTATCTCACTAAGGCTTTCTCCAGAATCTGGAGAACAAAGCATGGGTCTGGTGACAGATACACTTGGATCAAAAACCAGTTGTGTCATATCCTAATTATCTGACCTTTAACATCTTACTCTCTATGCCTTAGTTTGTTCAGCGATAAAAAGGGATTACTATAATCATACCTATCTCTAATAGTTATCGTTAGGATTAACGATTGAAGCTAACAAGAGTTCTCAAGAAATATTGTCATAAAAAAAAAAAAAGAAAAGAAAAGAAACACCGTCCCAAGAACTTCCTCTCCCGCCCCTGCTCCTAGTTTAGTGTGCCTCGACCACGTGACCAGCCCCGCAACCCGCCCGCGTGACTGCGGCCCACTTCTCCCTATCCCCCTGCCCAAAGGCCTTGAGATCCCCCGACTCTCACTGATGCCGATGACCATCTGCGTAATAGTCCCTGGGCTCGGGGCGTATCCCAGCTTCATGGGCTTCCGCGCCACCCAGTACACATACCCGCCCGCCCCTATCAGCCCCGACCCGGAGAGCACGCGACAGCTCCAGCAGTTATTAAGTAGAGGCGCTTCCGCTGGAGAGGTCGGCGCTCCAGGTGCATTCAGGGGCAGGGGCTCGGCGGAGTTGGTGACCTCAGGAGGCGCAGCGACTTTGATGGGCTCCAGAGGTTGGGACAAGAAAGAACCCATATTCAAGAACTCGGTCTCAACTGCGGGAGTCTTCCGACCGAACTGACGTCAAAGATACGACCGGAAGCAGAGCCCCGGCTCACTGCACCGGAAGCAGCCTGAGGGTCGCTGGGAAATGTAGTTCTGGCCTGCCTCGAACAGAAAAAAGATGGTGGCAGCCCGTGTTTGTGGATTTCTGAGGCAACAAACTCGGCCTTGCCAGAGGCCATTCCCTGCTACACCCTGCCCCAATCATTTTAAGAATTATGACTTAGTAAACCCCTAAATGTGTCAACTCTTACTTTCCTTAGAGGAGGAATCTGGATTTCTAATTTTTTTTTGCCTAGCAAACAATGTGAGATCTTGAGCATTACATTTCACCTGTCTTAAGAAAATAATTAAGTTTTGTATGTGCTTAACTATATGCTAGACACTTTGCTAAGCGATCATCTGCATCATGCCATTTAATCTTTCCAATCCAATGACATATCAGTTTCCCAATACATGACAAAACTGGTGAAATGACATAGCCATATTTGAAACCAATGTCTGTGTCAATACGGTCAAATTTCTTAAATGTCACCTGTACATATTATCGATGCAAAATGAAAAAATCTTTTTCTTAAATTTTGAAGACAAAGGAAAAGAGTTGTATTCGAGCTCAAGAGGGAACAGCTGCCTGATATACACAATTTTCACAAAGAAGAGAGTGTTCTGGGAAAGGAACATTTGGTACAAGATTATATATGTTTTTACACAAAGAGTTACAAATCATCATGATGAAGAACATTCCAGAAAGTCACAGCTTTTTGTTTTTATCTTATGTTTTTAGGATATTGGCAAGTTGCATGATTTTAAACTTATGGGAACCAGGGAAATTTCTTTATTCTTATGTTCAGAATACTCATTTTATTTTATTTTTATTTTATTTTATTTATTTATTATTATTATTATTATTATTATTATTATTATTATTTTATTTAAAGCAGACCATATGTGCTTAGGACAGAAATAGAGCCCATTCTTTGAGGTTTTGACAAGTCATTTTGACCTTGATAAATGTTAAAATATAGCTTCCCTAGGATCTCAAGAAGCAGGAAACATTCAAAGTTGAAAATTTCCTTTATTAATATTGTGAGGAGATTACACAAATATAATCAAGGTGTTAAAAATGTGTTTGAATTACCTGGATAAATACTTTTCATTTTCTCTTTAGCTTTTTTCCTAAAGTCATGATCTCAATGTTGTCATACTCACGATATTGTTCTACTTTGAGGGCCCTGGAGATAATTCAACTCAGAATCAGGCTAATAGACTTGAAGAGTTAATGTAGGATCTATTCTTGCGGGTTTACAATTTTATCATCCCTTAAGAATGGACTTTTAATTTTGATTGCTTCTTTGCAAGTCAACTGCTATATCATCCACTCCCATCACATTTCACCTTTCATTTCTTTTGGGTAGAGTTGCATATTTTTTTTTTTTTTTCTTCCCTGGGTTGGTCTCAGAGGATTACTGGTAAGAAAAAGGCATTTAGAGTTCAGAGGTAGTTTCTGTTAGAGGAGGTGGATGAAAACAGGATTAACTTCAGGTTTGACCTTTTTCCTTTAGAATGGCTTAAAAATTAACATGATTAAAAAAAGAAATTCATTATTTCACTTTACAAAATGGGATGTGATTTTGGGAAGGTTTTATTTTTTTTTATTTTTTTTTTTATTTTTTTTTTCAACGTTTTTATTTTTATTTTTGGGACAGAGAGAGACAGAGCATGAACGGGGGAGGGGCAGAGAGAGAGGGAGACACAGAATCGGAAACAGGCTCCAGGCTCCAAGCCATCAGCCCAGAGCCTGACGCGGGGCTCGAACTCACGGACCGTGAGATCGTGACCTGACTGAAGCCGGACGCTTAACCGACTGCACCACCCAGGCGCCCCTGGAAGGTTTTAAAAAAGATAAAGGTTTGGATAAATAGGAGAAAATAAAATCATGAGAACACAGGTTGGCCTGATGCTAATTTCAAAGACCCTCTCCATTTACACACACACACACACACACACACACACACACACACACACACACACATATCTCCATGTGTTGTCCAGTAGAAAGACAAAGAGTTGGGAAATTTGGGTTCTGTAGTGGGCTTTGTCACCATGAGTTAGCCATATGACATAGAGAATATTATTTACTCTCTCTAGCCTGTAGTTACCTCATGTTTGAAATAAGGAGATTTGGAATGGTAATATCTAACACTTGTTCTTAACTTGTAAATGTTATTTACTAAACATTTCTTTTTAGATAGCATTGTCCTAAGTGTCATACTAAACGAATTCAATAGCATTTGACTTAGAAATTAATAATTTATAGCTGCTTCTTTTCACTAAGCCTGATACAATATTCTACAGTGCACATGGTTTCCCCTTATTTATGAAGAAAAACTCCACCATTTACCAGCAGTTACTAAAAACATTTTAACTACACACTTCTGTGGATAAGAATGATTGAACACACAATAGCATGTATGCATACTTTATTATTTATAAATTATGTATTAATATATTACTTTTTACATTATGAAGATAAGATAAAATAATAGAAATAGGAATTTTATATTTTCCCATATCTCAATACATAGGCTCTGCATCTTCATGGACACCATGGTTATATGACTTGTGACTTTATTAATTCATATTTTATCTAAAAGCTTTCTTTATTGTGCTTATTACAGTTAAAGATGCCAGGAGAGGACATCTTTAATTCTCTAAACAAATATTATTAAAATGCCCATGACACATTTTCCAAACAGGCAAGATTTTATTTTAACTAGTATTTGTTTTTCCTTTATTGAAACAAAGAGAGTACACAGGGGAGACACAGAGAGAGCACAAGAGCTGTCAGCACAGAGCCTGATGCAGCGCTCAATTTCACAAACCATGAGATCATGACCTGAGCCAAAACCAAAAGTCAGATGCTTAACCAACTGAGCCACCCAAGAGCCCCTGTTTTTTTTTTTTAAAGCACCTTCCAAAAGATGTGTTTCTTCTCTTATGATTGCCTCAAATAAATGATTTCAGTTTGTTATTACTCATAGAACATATTGAAATTGAGATGTTAAAATGAGATTGAGATATAACTTTCATTGGAAAATTATTAGAAATGTTAAGATACATCTTGAGATAAATGAAATAGTAGGGTCTGAGGATAAAGCTAGAGGCTAATGAAATCAAGCAAAATTATAATTGGAGGAAGATGTGTGCATTTTGGGGGAAAGAAATAGGAGAAGAAGGCTGAAAGATTATTTTATTTTTTCTATTATATATATATGTGCATATATACACAGACACACACATACACACATATATACACATATACATGTATGTACATGTATATATACATGTATATGTATATGTGCATATATATGTATTATGTATATATGTGTGTGTATATATGTATGTGTGTGTATAATATATATATATATATATATATATATATATATATATATATATACACACTATTTATCATCACCATAGTTTACTTTGGCACATTTGACTCAGAAAGCCTCATGGTCTCTCTTATTTATTTATAAATTTTAAAAATGCAAAAGGCATTTTTAGTGTCCTTCACACTCCTGTCCCCCAACCACTCAGTTTCCCTTCCTTAACATAGCCAGTCTTATGAGCTTCTTGTGTATCTTTTCAGAGATGTCAGTATGTATGTGTATATTCTTTCCTCCAGTGACTTTGGGGGTCATTCCATATCAGTTAATATGTGAAGAGCTTTATGCATTTGTGGCTCTGTAGTATTCCCCTGTAGGCCTGTACTGTACAGAATTTGATAGGTCTCATATTGATGGACATTAATAGGCTGCTTATACTCTTTTGGTACTACAAATAGTGTCACAGTAAATAACTTGCACATATATCATATCACAAACATATGAGTATATCTTAGAATATATTTCAAAAGGATAAAGTATTTATAAACTTGATGGATATTACCAAATTGCCCTTCACAGAAGATGTACAAATTTACACTCTTACCAACAAGTATGAGATCTGTTTATCTATTCTAATTCTCACAAACAGTGAATTATATAACTTTGATCTCTGCCAGTGTGATAGGTAAAAGTGGTTTAATTTTCTTTTTCTTGTTATTAGCTCCTTAATATATGTTTAAGTGCAATCCATACTTCCTTTTCTGAGAATTGTCCATATTTTTGCCCATTATTTTCATCGGACTGCCTTATTCTCATTAACTTCTAAGAACTCCTTATCCATTAGACAGATTAACTATGTCGGTGATATGTTAGTATTTTTCCCTCCCAATTTGGTATTTGCCTTTTAATTTCACTTGTACTTTTTATCATTAATATTTTTAAAACATTTAATTGAATTTAACAATCTTCCTTTTTATAGCTTCTGAGTTTCGTGTCATAATTAGAAAGGCCTTCTACTTTCTATGCTTTCGCCTGGTATTTTGATCTTTTGAAAAAACACTTAAAATTTTAATACAACTGGCATTTCTCCTACAATTAGGTGTTAGAAATGGAGTCAGATTTTTCTTCCTTTTCTTTTCTCCAATTCATTTTTCTCAATACTATTTATTTTTTTTTATTTATTTTTTATTTTTTTTTCAACGTTTATTTATTTTTGGGACAGAGAGAGACAGAGCATGAACGGGGGAGGGGCAGAGAGAGAGGAAGACACAGAATCAGAAACAGGCTCCAGGCTCAGAGCCATCAGCCCAGAGCCTGACGCGGGGCTCGAACTCACGGACCGCGAGATCGCGACCTGGCTGAAGTCAGATGCTTAACCGACTGCGCCACCCAGGCGCCCCTCAATACTATTTATTAAGTAATCCATCTTTCTTCATCTGTTAGAATATGCCACCTTTTCTAAAATGACATATATAGATGTATGTCTATTCCTGGATTTCATGTTCTGATCCATGATTTTTCTATTTATTCATGTGACAATATAATAGTATATTACTTACTGAAGCTTTCTAATGTATTAATGCTTGGAGACTGGTTCCCCCTTATTAAACTTCTGTTCCAGACCTTTCTTGGATATTTTTACATGTTTATTTTTC